CCTATTACAAGCTTACCCTTTGCCCGATGCCAGGTGTGTTGAGAGTACGATCAACACTGTTCAGCGCTCAGCGGAGGGGCAGGCAGGGCGCGAAGACCATCCCCACGGGAGAAGCCCACCGAGGCTAGAGTGGAAGGTACCTGCTATGCGGCTCCCGTACGCCACTCCGACCGCACAGAAGCTGTTGTTGGGCACTGCGGCAATCTCTCCCGCACACCTCGTGCCATGGTGGTTGCCATTCTCCACATCCGGGTGTGGCATAGGGTCAGGGTCATTGGAGTTGAGGTCATAGCTGCCCTCAGGGCTCTGAAACATTGCGGGGGACATGTGGTAATTCACAGGTTTTAACGGGTTAGGTCCTGGAGTTGAGGGGGAGAGGAGACCTGGGGGAACCTGGGACTTTGGGGCTCCCAGCCAGCGCAACAGGCCCATCTCTCTCTCAGGCTGCAGACATGAGAACAGGACACAGGGGGCAAAACAGAGAAGTGCCACAGGCCTCAGCAAACTTCTCTCTTGTCCATTATAGAAGCAGGTCCAGGAGACGGCTCCGTGGCTTGGGAAGCCCAGGATAAAAGAGATTTAGAGCCACCTAAAGACCAGGCTTTGGAAGAGGAAGGTGCTCAGAACTCATGGGGAGAGGGAAGTTGCCTCCAGGGGCCACTCCTTACTGCCCAGGGCAGGGAGCAGCAACCGGAACCCGGAAGCGCCACCTGGAGTCCTCTCCCCAGTCTTAACTACCAGACTGGAATGCTGGCTGGGGGAGAGGGGAGGTCGAAGAACACCATCCCACCTCCCAGGCCCTTTTGGGTGGCCCGGGGACCTTTAAGAAAGGGGGCCAGACTGGGGCCGTATCAAGAAGGGGGTAAGACGCGGGAATCGGAGGGGGCGTCCCAGGGCCACTCACGTAGTTGGGTGCGATGTCCTGGATGGTGTGCTCCACTCCGTCATCCACCACCACCACGGTCACCCCTCGCCCTGTGACATTGCGTTCCCACACACCTGTCACGTTGATGTCCCTGCCAGGGCTCCGCCGGTTATTCTGTAGGAGACACGGGGTCAAGAGCCATTTCCAGAGCCTTGGGAGCCGAGTAACACATGACACAGCTCACAGACAGATAAGTCAGAGCTAGCTCGGCCACCATCAAAGGGCCGGGCAGTGGCTGTAGACCGACAGGTCTAGGTAGGGACAGAGGGACAAGGGAGGGCTTTGCCACCACCTCGCTCTCCAGGAAGACCTGGCATCATTCACGGGTGATAAAAGTGAAATGGTGGCAAGGACAAGGGTTGGAGGATACAATTATTAGGCCGTCTGATGTATATCCTGTGAACATTACATAACATCATGTGGTACCAAGTGCTCACCAAGTGTCAGGCACACATCTATGAGTTCACTCCTCCTAGCCAGAACGCCACCAGGTACATACTGTTACGATCTCCACGGAAGTGACGGAGCTGGATCCGAGCCCGGGCAGCCTTGCCCCAGCACCCACCCCCTAACTTCTGCAGTCCACTGGCTCTCCAGAAGCCAGCACAGGGGGGAAGGTGGAGCCCGAGGGCAAAACACGCCACTGAAGCCAACAGAAATGTGTCCTCAGGAGAAGGATGGGGGCCACAGGAGAGGAATACAAAAGCCCTCTAGAGAACAGAGCACCCCAGACTTCTCCGCCTGGGAGCTGAAGGCGGCAGGACCGGGCTTACCAGGTGCCACTGCTGCGGGTACTTGGGGTCATTGAAGTGGACGCTGCGCTTGGCCCGCTTGAGCAGCCTCTGCTCCGAGTGCCAGTGCACAGCTTCGTGCCCAGCTAACACAGTCTCCGCCCGCCGCCGGACAGCCTCCGCCGGCCACTCCCGCTGCTGCCCGGCCGGCTGGACGAGGAGGTAGTACCCCTGGAGCTCCCCGATGCGCCCAGCGTTCAGTAGCCCTGCTGCCCGGGCCAGGGCATCTGCCTTCTGCTCCAGGGTCTCTTCCGGCCCCTCGCCTTCCAAGCTGTCCAGGTGCACGGCCCAGCTTAACCCCCCTGGGCCCTGCGCTCTGGGCCCATCTGTCCCTGCCAGGCCCATGACCCAGGGAACCAGCAAGAAGAGCCCGGCCAACTCCAGCCAGAGGCAGGCGGGGACACCCAGGGGGGCATCCAAGTGTGGCACTCTCTGCCTCCCCTTCGGCATCAGAGCAGTAGGCTGCAGACAAACAGAAAGGACATCAGAGACCCCTGTGGGGAATCTGCAGGGACACCGAGCCACCCACGTATGACTCCTAGAAACCCCCAATCCACTCCGTTTACATTTTTAAACACTTGATCCTCTCTTTTTATTCACATTTATTCCTGAGCAACAGGGATAAGCCCGCCGGTGGGGTGTGGGCCGGTACTAACTCCAGTGGATACGTCCACGGCAGGATGGCAATCACCATCTCACCAGATAATCAGGCAGGATGTCCAACTGCTAACAGGCACCATGTTGCTCTTTGCCACTGTTGCTCTGAAAAGGGCTCAAAAGTCCTATTGCTGTTCAGTAGGTTACTGGCAGAATCATGACTGTTCTTTAGAAGAGATCTTCCTCCCTTATTTAGAGCGGACATCAATCTTCCCCCCAGCTGACATCTCAGCCCAGTTGTCCTCGGGGCCGAATCTCCACAAGGGCACCCCAGTCCTACCTGGACTCTGTGTGAGGCTGAGCTCCTGGTCTGGCTAACCACCTCACGCTCATTTTGTGCAAATGGAGAAAAGGCATCACTTCCACTGAGGAATGTTGGCTCTGAGCACAGACTGCAGACCTGTGGGTCCCAAGAAAAGAAAAAATAAAAGAAGAAATGGTGTCGTCCCAAACCCAGTGGAGCCAGCAGAGGCTAGCCATGACCTGTGACCAAGGGAAGTGGCCAATGATGAAGCGTCATTTCCAGGGATCTCAAGTGGGTTGCAGACTGGCAGAGAAACCCTGCTTCTTATCCTAACCATCATGCCACCCTCTTTTCTGTGTTCCCCAGAGGCCCAGAAGAGGGCTTGAACTGTTGCCCAGACACCCTCCATGAGAAGCAGATAGTCCTATTTCCTAGAAGTCGAGGTGGAGCTAACTTCCTGATTTCTGTATCTCTGACAGATGCCAGGGAAGTAAGAGTAGGTAGGAAGCAGAGGAAATGGTGAAAACCCAAGAATGCAAACGAAATTGAACAGGCCTAAAAAGCAAGTGGGCAAGCGGGAAGGAAGAAATGATCGGAGAGTTGGAAAGTAGCACTAAACTTGGCTCTCCTTAGGCATGAGCTCGGCTGGGTAGCTTGCAAGTGAGGGCTCAGGCTCTAAACTGGGACTGGCACCCATGGTTTGATTTCAGAAGGGCCAGATTTAGAACTGGTGGGCAACTGTGGTTCCAAGGACAGGTGAGGTGGCAGCAGAACGTGTGTGTACCTATTGGCAACCGGGCTCCTTTAGAGTCATCTGCTCTGCGCTTGTGTCACCCCGAGGCAAGGCTTTGTACCCACACACACCCAAAGGGATCCAACTTAAAACGTGATAGAAAAATAGGTCTTTTACTGAAGTCTCCTTGGAAAGGGAGAAGAGAACTTAGGTCACCTGACTCTTCCCTCCAAAAAACCGCATTCCACATCTCCTTAGACTCCCGGGGAAAACTCCCTCTCAAATTCCTCCCCACCCTCCAGCAGCCTCCACGGTCCCAACATACTCAGATGCCTTTCCCAGACCTCACTAAGTAAAACAACATCTTGCGAGACAGCCAGATAATGCCCCACCTAGGCAATCCCCTTCAAGTCCCCTAGATCCCATTACATTTCCGGAAGAGAAGAGAGACGAGACCACCACTTCCTCCTCTCCCTCTGGCAGAGCAGGACCGTCTCCCATTCCTTTCCCAGCTTTCTGGGAAAGGAACCTTAAATACTCTCTGAAAGCAGATCACAACCTCACCCAACTGCTGTCCGTATCTTTACGGCTCTTAGGTGCCAAGGGAGAAAAGAAAGAATATGGGCAGCCCTGAGTCCTGGGAAGAGCCTGTCCCAGGAGACTGCCCTCCTCGAAGCCTCTACACCAGGTTCCTAGAAACCAGGTTGCGTCCCAGGTCAGTTTCATTGATTTACCTCTCCCCGGCCTCGACTGGCCCGTGCACTGTGTCCCTCCTCGCAGAGGGACCCCTACTACCCTGGGATCCGTGACCCCAGTGTGCCGTCTCCCGGGGCTCCCCCACGCCGGGGCTGAGGGCGCCCTCTGTGCGGCCCCCTAGTCCTTAGGGGCCCGCGCCCCGGGCCCCCGGCCCCCCCACCCTAGCTCTGGGCCACTCGGACTTCCCCTGCCCGGCCCCCACCGAGTTCCCAACTCACCGGCCCGGCCGCAGCTGCCGCCGCCGCCTCCCTGCGGAAACTCGCGGCTTCCCGGGAGCCCGGGGAGCCAGTGACAGTAGCATCACTTCCGCCCGGCGGCGCAGCCAATCAGCGGCGGGGCCCCGGCCCGGATAAGCGGCCCGGAGCAATCCGCGCTAGGGGGCCGCCCGCTCCGGGCATCCTCCGCCGGGAGAGGGGCGTGAGGGCGTGCTGGGCTCCGCTCGCCTGGCCCCACCGCCCCGAGTTGTCAGGGGGTCCTCAACTGGCTTCCTGCCCGGAGGGACGGTCTTGCCCTTCATGGCGTCCTCTGGAAAGGGCGTCTCGGTTGCGACCTTTTAAAAACACCTCGTTCCTCTTCTCTCTCTGATCGCCATGGCCCCGACTCTCCCTGGGACCTTCCCAGAGGGGCTCCTCCCTCCGCCGGGTCTCCTTCCTTCTCTCCGTCGCCTCCCTCTTCCACCCCGCATCCCCGGGAGGGTCCACTCGTACGTTAGGGGGCTACCGCGGAGTCCGCGGCTCCCCCACGGTGCCTGCTCTGGCCGCCAGAGGGCGCCGTCGGGGGCGGCGAGGTGCCGCCGCGGCCGCTCCTCTCCCGGCCGAGCCTCGCCCGCTCCTCTCGCGCCGCCGGAAGTGGGAGGTGCCGCGCGCGGGCCGGCGCTCGACCCCTCCCCCCGAGGCTCGGCCGCCCCCTCCCCCCGCTCCGCCCGCTCAGGTGCGTCCCGTCCCTCCCCCACTGCCTCCCGGGGGCGCGGCGCGGGAGGTGTGTGCGGGGCGGGCGTGCGGGAAGGGGGCTGCGACGCCCGGGGCCAGGGCAGGGGCGGGGGGTCGAGGCGGGGGGGGGCGTGGAGGGGGCCCGTGCGGACGGGGCGGGGGTCCCGGCCTAGGAACGGGACGGCGTTGGCAGCGCGGTGGGGCGGGGGGGGGGTGACGGAGAGGTGTGGGGGGCTCCGGCCCGAGCAAGCGGCGGACTTAGCCGTCCCCGGTTGAGGCGGCCGTGGCCACCCGGCGCCTCTTTCCCCATTGTCCCTTTCGCGGCCGTGCCCCGTTCTCCTCCGAGCACCCGTCGCTCCCGGCGTCGCCGCCTCGCTGGTGGTCGCCGCAGGGATTCCCTTGACACGTTCTACTTCCCACCCCGCGCCGCAGCCTGCAGCCCGACGTACCTGCCCCGCTCCCCCTTGGGCTGTAGTGGCGGCGTCTCACGTAGGACCCGTGCCCTGCGGTTCCGTTTACCGGGCACCGAGGACCCCCGACCCTGGGCTCTGTCGGGGCAGGATGTTTGCACCCGAGGGAGCAGTAATGGCGATTTGGGCCCATTTTCTCCTAGGAGCTTTGTATAATGGGGGAAACTGAGGCACAGCGGGGTTCCCTGGCCTATGACTGAAGTGTTGACAGAGCCCAGTCTCCATACTTGCCCAATGCGAGCTTGAAGGTTCCGGGCGGTGGGGCGGGGTGGGGGGGGGGCGGTGTGGATATCTGTGTTGCTATTAAAATAAAAACAAGAACTTAAACTAACCCTATGTGACACCCCTCGGCCCCCCCACATTCTTTTCCCCCCAGCTTTGTCTTCACCGTGGAGGGCCGTGAGTTTGTCCTGCCACACAAAGGATGGCCTTTTGATCCAAGAAAGGCATCAGTCCCGATTCCCTGACTTGGATTACCCTGTTTCTCAGCTTCTCTTTCTCTTAGTGGAGTACCCAAGATTCTTGTACTCTTTTGCACCCCTGTAGTAGCTTTGAAGAGTCTGTATTTTTCTCAGTGATTCTCGAACATTTCCCGTCTGTGGGGAGCACACTGACAGTAAAAGATGCTCCGATTGCCCAGCATAGTATTGTTTTTTTTCTCACATACGAACACCTCCAAAGCACTTCACTTAAATGAACAGATAATGCTTTTAATGATTTAAAATGTATAAGATGTTGTTGATTGTTGGGCCCCCAAATAACCTTCTTTGTAAATAATATTAGGTAAAGTAAGTACGTGGACCAACTGGAAGATTCTCACAGACTGTAGTCCGTTTTAAATGACTGCATCTCTGCCAAAAGTGGAAAAGCTTTGCTCAGACTCCTAGATACTTGTATAAATACGGTGATTTCCTAGGATCGATGTCCACTTGGGCCTCTTGTGCCTTGCTACACAAAACTCTTGTTTAAGTATTTTCTCCTAGGGCCCAACTTTTTCTCTGTGTTTCTTTCCTGGAATAACTGTGGTATGGACATTCTGAGGGGGAAAGATACACTTGTTTTAAAATTTGGAAACTTGCAGCCTGTAATTTGTTTCTGAATGTACAGAGCATGATGGCAGCGGCGTCCGAGGTAGCTGGTGTGGTGTCCAATGCCCCCAATCCTCCAGAATCCTCTCCTAGTTTATGTGCTTCCAAATCAGACGAAGGTCTCCCAGATGGTCTAAGGTAATGTGCACGTCCTTGACTGGGAAGATTTCATTTGGGCGAGGGGCTTTTGAGATGGCTTCTTATGGAAGCATAGATGAGTTTTCCTCTTTTTGGCTCTAGTGACACTGCATGAGAGTAAGCTTTTTAAAGGTAGGGACTGTCTGATCCGTGTGTGTATTTATGGTACCTACCACAGCATCTGGCACTCAGCAGGCATGCTAAGTGTCTGTTGAGTCAATAGAATACAGGGGGTAAAACTCTTCTGAAAATGCTAATATTTCCCCACCCTTTTTTACATGGACTATGTATGTTCATTTAATTGTATACTTATAATATCTGTGTCTATATCTACATACGATACCTATCTATACATTTGTGTTATGATTATGTATATTATAATGATGTATATCATACTTGTATATTTATGTCTTCTGTATTACATAGAGATAGAGGTGTGTATGCATATACACACATATAGCACATACATATTCATACATACACACAAATATGTGTGTATCTGTATTATCTCCAGATAAACAGATAGCTTTGTTAGTATGGCTTACTGCTTCACGTAGACATTTTGCCTCCTCTCTAAACTCTTGAGGGCTGAGTTATGGTTGCCCAACCTTGCATCTCACAGTGCTTAACACATAGCTATGTATAGTGTTGTACTAAATTAACTGTATGTTCCACCTCAACTCTTTCCTAGAGTACCTAGGACCTAATATAATAGATACTACTGTACTAACAGTTTTATATGTATTAACACCTTTAATCTTCCTAACAATCGCAGGAGGGAGGTGCTAATGTTATTATTCCCATTTATAGGTGAGAAACTGAGACAGGTTAGTAACTTGCCCAGGGTTGCCAAGCTACATTGGAGTCAGGGTTTGAACCCACACTTGTCCGACTGTATAGTACCTCGTAAATACTGGTTTAAATGAAGAGAGATTTGTTGGCGAAGGGGTAATGGGGAAAAATCTTAAGTAAGCCTAACCATCAACCTGGATCTTCATTTTATAAACAGAGTCAGCCACATACTTCTCATAATAATAATGACAGCTAGGGTTTATTGAATATTTACTGTGCCAGGCCGTGTACTAAATACTTCAGATGCGTGATTTCATGTCATCCTCACAATAATCCTAGTAGGTGGGTCATATGTCTGTTTTACAAATGAAAGTAAGTAACTTACCGAGAGTCATTTACGTGGTAAATAGCAGAGTCAGGATTTACACCCAGGTACTCTACTGTATATGCCAAGTCAATAATTTAAGTGTCTCCCCCGCTTCTCCAGGTAACTCTCAGCAAGGAATCAGCTAGAGGTGTTTATAAAGGTTTTCATATCCCAAAGACGCTCTTGGTTGTTTTATTTTGAACAGCCTGTGCTATTGAGGAAAGGAAGGCACCGTGACCTAAAGCCTCAGTCATTGCTGGCTTGGGGTACTTAAGGGCATCAATTGACAGAATCAGTTTTTTAAAAAAAGAAGGGGCAAAGAAATTTAGCACAGATGTCGTCATTATTCCTGGGTGGGAGGCGTACTGTTGTAAATGTTAGATGTCACTGTAAATAGGTTTTAAAGATTTCTTCAAAAAGCAGTACATTAAGTGTCTGTGACAAACGACAAAACAACTATCGCAGTGTTTATACATGTGTATGTATTTGTCTGGGGTAAAATTTCTACTGACAGCTTCAGTTTCGGATTCAGTGTCTGTACCTCAGACACCCTGAAGTGGAGAATGCCGTGCTCTGGAAAACTGTTGAGGAACTTAAGAGGTGGTTCTGGTCAAAGATCTGTATGAGGAATTTGAATGAAAATTATTTTTGTGAAACGTGAGAGTGGAATAAACACATTTTTTCTGAATTAATATTTTATTTGTTAGAACATGAGGTATAACTAAGTACAGCTAACTAAATGAGAATACTCTAACGAGCAGCAGGCTATTTCATTGACATTCTCCCAAAATTATTCAAATTGGACCTCGGAAATTTGGGGCTCATCAGAGTCATTTATGTGTGTTTATTTATGGTCACCCGACAGGAAATGTCTGTCTCCAGCACCCAGGTTCTAACCAGCAAGCTCTACTCCCTGCATGTGGGTCAAAATCGCTGGACAGAGACTAAGTTCCACGTCATTCTGATAAATTGAGGGGCTTATGTAGTCTCGTTTTGTTCTTCTAGTCATTATGTTGATTATGTATTTAATCTTCCTTAAGATTGGGTGAAGAGAGAAACTTTTTGTCTTATGTTTTTGATAGCCCCAAAGACCCTGCACAGAAGCACAAGAACTCGCCTCTGTCGAGTGTAAGTAGCCAAACGATAACCAAGGAGAATAACAGAAATGTCCATTTGGAACACCCAGAGCAGAATCCTGGTTCATCAGCAGGTGACACTTCAGCAGCGCACCAGGCGGTTTTAGGAGAAAACTTGCTAGCCACAGCCCTTTGTCTTTCTGGCGGTGGGTCTCAGTCTGATTTGAAGGACGTGGCCAACACAGCAGGAGAGGAGGGGGACACATGCCTCCGGGAGAGCCTCCATCCCGTCACTCGGTCTCTTAAGGCAGGGTGCCATACAAAGCAGCTTGCCTCCGGGAATTGTTCTGAAGAGAAATCCCCACCAGCCTCCATCCTAAAGGAAGGTAGCAGGGCCACAGGCTTGGATTTCCGACCTGTGGTGCCTCCAGCAAATGGGGTTGAAGGAGTCAGAGTGGATCAGGATGATGATCAGGATAGCTCTTCCCTGAAGCTTTCTCAAAACATTGCTGTACAGGTCAAGTATCAAGTTTCTACTACTAAAATGGAATTTGGGCTATTTATTTATTTATATATTTATCAAGGGTAGGAGACCTTTCTTCATAGGAAGGTGGTGGAGAACTACTCTGTCTCATTTTTTTATTGGCAACTATCCTACGATTTTCATGCAGTGCTGTGGGATGTCATCCTTCCGGTGTTCGATAAATAATAAGGCCAGGAGTCAGGGTCTCATCATGGTGACTAGGAACTTTATGACCTACATATAGTCTCTTTCACTGACTAATTGATAAGTGTAGGTCATTAGCATTCATATTTCCCATCTTTGTCCTTGCAGGAGGAATCCTTGTTAATTCTCTGACCTACATCTTAAGAAGTACAGTGTATCCTGCCTCCTAGTGCTCGGTGTGCTTTGTTGTAGGAGGAAGGATGGGCACAATAGGTTGTAGGGGGCGAAATTCTTATTTCACACTTGAGGCTGTCTCTCTGGCAGTTCTTGGGTCTTGCTCAGGTTCTTTTGTGGGATAATGTTCGATGCAATATACATGTCAGTGTCTATTTGCCAGACTTACAGTTCTTCTCTTGTTAAGAAGCCAGTAAGGGGAATGCAGAAATTCAGCTGCTTAGTTACTTGTGACAGATTTCCTTGTAAAATTACAAAAGAGTAATTTTGTCTTTTAAAATGTCTCTGAACAGTTCTGAATATAATTGTTTCTTTCTTTATAGACTGACTTTAAGACGGCCGATTCAGAGGTAAACACAGATCAAGATATTGAAAAGAATCTGGTGAGTACTTAAACTGTCACAGTGAATATACTAGATCATTAACTCAGACTGTCTAGAGTCATATTATCTCAGCTGGAAAAGGTGCAGGAATCTCCTTTTCAAATCCCTAACAGATGGTCAGCTAACTTCTTTCTACTTGATCACTTCCAGAGATGGGAAGCCTACTACTCATAAAGCAGCCTTTGCATCTGAAAAAGAGCTCTTATTGTTACATCTCGTTCTTAGGTGAGGATAGCACCTCTCATACTTGTTAGAGTGCTCTCCTGAGCCATGTAGATGAAATCCAAATCTTCCTTTACTTGTTGGCTCTATGTATAATTGAAGTTTTTTTATGCCGCTTCCTGTTACCCCTCAAGTCGAATCTTTCCAGAAAAAAACATTCCCAGACGTTTATAACGTTCTTCTTTTCTTCATAGGATACGTTTTCCAGCCCTTCCATCGCCCTACTTTTCTGCCTGGACAGGTTCCATCTTATCATTGTTGCTTTGAAAATGTGATCCTGAGAAGTAAATACAATAATCCAAATACAGAGTAATGAAGTCACAACACAGTGGGGTTCTCCTCTCTATCATTCCAGACGCTGTTTCTCAGGCCTCCCCTGGCTTACTGTGGCGCTGTGCTCAGAGTGTTGACCTTTCAGGTTTTATTCTGCTGGACTGTTGAGTCGTATCTTCCCTTTATTCCTAGTGACTGGGTTTTAAAACCTAGAGAGCTGTACGTTTGTCTTTGTTAAAATGGTCTTTTTGATCTATCTCTGGTATTTTGTGGCAGAAACTTCCACCCTTAAGAGTATGGATATCAAGGTTTATATTTTTCGAGAGGAAGGATGATGCTGGGAAAGGCACCCTAGCATCAGGAAGAGGTTTTTAGGGTAATATGTGTTAACTGAGTGAGAGAAAAAGTGCTTATAGCAACCAGATAAGAAAGTGGATATTTGGTCAAGTTGAAGAAATTGAGGGGCAGATGGAAGGAAGGAAGTTATGGGAGTACATTAACCAGATGAAGCGAATAAAGTTTTTTAAATACAGGGTAGCACCTTGGAGTTACTCATATAACAGGCAGGTAAAAAGATCCTAGAGATGAGCAAGCTGATGGAGATGTGCTGGGTGAAAACCAAGCTAGAAGAGAAGTCCCAGGGAAGGGGGGCGGATTCACCTTTTCTTGAATACTTACTTACTCCAAGCACATTATTTTGTCCCCATAGTTCTATGGTGCGGTTCTGATGACAGTAGCAATCCAAGGGGCAACTAAGTTATAAATAAGCTTTAGCATCAGTCCGATGCGGGAGTGGAAACTAGCAAGTCATTGGGCCAGAAGAGGCCCAGGATTATGTTTTATGTGGCTGTATTCTTTTGGGTAGTGGGATGGCCCACATGCCTTTATTTTATTTTATTTTATTTTATTTTATTTTTTCAAAATTTCCTTTAAATTCTAGTTAGTTAACATACAGTGTAGGCTCACATGCTTTTAAAAAGGCAGTGGAACTAGGCAGGTGTTAAGCTTGGTGGCAGTAAAAGAAACTTGGCTCCTGTTTTGTTTTCCTTTTTGCGCATGTATGGTAATTTCCCACTGGCTGCATTTGAAATTATACCTTCTGGTCCTTGGAACCAATTAGACACTGATGAAATAGTAACTTTGGCTTGTTAAGATGAGATGCTATGGATCAAGTAGTTTAACATATAGCCTTTCAGTTATCTTTTTGTATGTACTAATAGTATGTACCTTGAGACTTACTTCCATGAGACTAGTGGTGTCTTCCCCTGGCCTGTGTTGTTCTAAAGAAGCATTGTAGACAGAGAAAGTACCACAAAGAAATAAAGGAAAAGACCTATGTTGAAGAAAGTAAAGATTCCTCTTCTCTACTAGTTGAATATATTGGTTCTTAACCTTTCTTTAGCTTTTCTTGGGTTAAAGTCCTCTTTTGGAATCTTTTGAAAACTTTAATTCTCATCTCAGAAAAATTTATCCTCCCTCCCACATCCCCCTATTTCAGAGAGTTCAGAGACCCCTGAGGCGCATCCATAGATCCTAGGTTCAGAATCCCTGTAAAGATGTGAGACTGGAGAGTCATCAGGAGTCTTAGTCACGTTTCAGCACCTGGTCCAAGGACTAGCTTATCTCAGAGCTGAAGTCCCATCTTTTTTTTTTTTTTTCCAGATTTATTTATTTATTTTAGATAGAGAGCACAAGCGGGAGGGGCAGAGGGAGAGGGAGAGAGAATCCCAAGCAGACTCTGTGCTGAGAACAGAGCCCTACATGGGGCTGGATCTCACGACCCTGATACCATGACCTAAGCTGAAACCGAGAGTCGGACGCTTAACCGACTGTGTCACCCAGGTGCTCTGCTAATGTCCCATCTTGAAAACTTAGTTTTTATTATCATAATGTAGTAAGTTTTCCTTCATTCACTTCTAAAACCTGTCTTTTCTTTGAAAATAGTTATCTTTTAATGATTAAGTTCATTTGAATGCTCTTGGTTTAAATTTTACATGGGCTGCCTTATACCAAATGTGTTTTAAATTGAACATCTCTAAGTTTTAGCATCCCTTTGAAAGGTAACCATTACTTTTCTTGATTTACGGATATGGGGAGGCAGAGCTGAACTGTGGTCCTCAGAAGCGTTTCTTCTACTCTTGCCTTTACATGAGAGCTTGCTGATTTGCCCAGTCTGAATACCATGCTCCTCTTTAGCGGATCTGTCCATTTTCAGCGCTAATGGCCAATAAGGAATCCTCTTTTCTGGATGCAGTTTTGAGTAGGTGATCTGTTTTTGTTTTTGTTTTTTTTACCCATTCATTTCTTCTTGCTCTGATAAAATGCCTTCTTCCTCTTATTCCCTAGAACAGTGATTGACAAACCTTTTCTGTAAAAGGTCAGATGGTAAATGTCTTAGGCTTTGGGGCTCTATGGGCTCTGTTGTAACCATTCCACTCATTGTAGTGTAAAAGCAGCCTATAAGCCATTGGGAATGGCTGTGTTCCTATAAAATTTATTTATAGGGGCACCAGGTGGCTCATTGGTTGAGTGTCCGACTCTTGATTTCGGCTCTGGATATGATCTCAGGGTCGTGGGATCTGTACTCCGCACAGAGTCTGCTTCTCTTCCTTTCCCTCTGCCCCTCCACCTGCTCATGCACATGAGCTCAAGAGCTCTCTCCCCGAAATGAATAAAATAAGTCTTAAGAAAAAAAATTCAGATAATGTCTGGATTTGGCCCACAGGCCATACATTGCCCGGATGCCCCCCCTGCCTTAGAGCCATGCTGTGCAATAGGATTTCCTGTAATGGTAGAAATGTCTTATATCTGTGTTGTCCAGTGTGGTAGTCATTTGTTATTTGTGGCTACTGAGTACTTGGGAATGTGGCCAGGTGACCAAGGGGCTGTATTTTTAGATTTTCTTACTTTAATTAACTTAAGTTTATATAGCCACTCATGGCTAGTAGTTAGAGTGTTGGACCCTGCAGCCTAGAGCTCTGCACAGTGCCTTGAACAGGAACCTGGTGTTTTTTGCAGTTAAATTGGGGAATTGAACTTTTTTTCCTCTTGTTACAAATAGGACAAAATGATGACGGAGAGAACCCTGTTGAAGGAGCGTTACCAGGAGGTCCTGGACAAGCAGAGGCAAGTGGAGAATCAGCTCCAAGTGCAATTAAAGCAGCTCCAGCAAAGGAGAGAAGAAGAAATGAAGAACCACCAGGTACCCTGCTTATGTTAAGTCTGTCAATAAGTATGGCTACACTCCTTAATCAAACTGTAATTTTGTTCCTGAATTAATAGAAACAGAAGAGCAGTATTTATCTTTTTAATGGTTGTCTTAGAATTTTAAGGATAAGAAGAACCTTTGAGGGCATCTTGTTTAAACTCTCAATTCTTTTTTTTTTTTTTTAAGATTTTATTTATTTGAGAGAGAATGTGCACGCCCTTGAGCCAGGGGAGGGGCAGAGGGAGAGAATCTCAAGCAGACTCCCCACTGAGCACGGAGCCCAGTGAGAGGCTTGATCCCAGGATCAAGCTCAGGTCATGACCTGAGCCAAAATCAAGAGTTGGACGCTCAACCGACTGAGCCACCCAGGCGCCCCCGTACTCTCACTTCTATTTAAGTTTAGAGAGAAATGTTATTTAATATATTTTGTTGACATAGCTGACTGCCTACCTGGGAAACCATGTAATTAGACTCTTATATTAAAAAACATAATTCTAGTAGATTAAAAATCTACCTATGAAAACTGGAAAAATGTAAGTTAGAAGAAAATTTAGGAGAACATTTATAAAACCTCAAATTGCAAGAGGTCACTTTAAGCCAGGCAAAAAACCCAGAAGCCATAGAAGAATGAATCAATTTAATTATGTATAATTTAAAACTTCTGATATGTCAGATGATACAGAAAACATCAGAAGATCAGTGTTAGATTGGGAAAATATTTGTAGCACATCTGATGAAGGGTTTAATATCCATATCTGTGTTCTGAGACTCCTACAAGTTCATGGTAAAAGTCAAATACTCTAAAGAAAAACTAGGAAAGGTTATTGTATAGTTTCTTTTTTTTTTTTTTAAGATTTTATTTATTTGAGAGAGAGAATGAGAGACAGCACGAGAGGGAAGAGGGTCAGAGGGAGAAGCAGAACCCCTGCTGAGCAGGGAGCCCGATGCGGGACTCGATCCCGGGACTCCAGGATCATGACCTGAGCCGAAGGCAGTCACTTAACCAACTGAGCCACCCAGGCACCCTGTTGTATAGTTTCCTATTTCTGCTGTACCAAACTACCATCAATTTGGCAGCTGAACACAACACAGTCCTATAGGTCAGAAGTCCAACATGGGTGTCACCGGGCTAAAATCCATGTAATGGCAGGGTTGCATCACTTTCTGGGGACTCTGGGAGAACATACCTCTCCCTGCATTTCCAGCACCTAGAGGCTGCTTGCATTCCTTGATTTGTGACCTCCTTCTCCATCTTCACAGTCAGCAAATTTACATCTCTGACCACTCCTCCCTAATCACATCTTCCTCAGATCGCAATTGAGAAAGGTTCTCCACTTTTAAAGACCTGCATAATTAGATTGGGCCCATGCAGATGATCCAGGACCGTCTCCCTGCATCCGGGTCTTTACCTTAGTCACACCTGCACAGTCTCTTTTTCCATGGAAAGAAACATAGTCACAGGTCCCAGGGATTAAGTTAGATTAGAATGTGGACATATTTTGGGGGAAGGGGTTATTATTTTGCTTACAACAATTGTAAATGGTGGGGCGCCTTGGTGGCTCAGCCAGTTAAGCATCTGCCTTCAGCTCAGGTCATGATCTCAGGGTCCTGGGATCAAGCCCCAAGCTGGACTCCCTACTCAGCGGGGGGTCTGCTTAAGATTCTCTCCTTCTGCACCGCCCCCCCCCACGAGCTTGCTCTCTCTCAAATACATAAAATCTTTAAAGCAAAACAATTATAAATGGTAGTACACAGAAGAGGAAAAGCAAGTGGATAATAAATATATGAAAAGAAGCTCAGCCTCAGCCTCACTGGTATTCATTCATTTAGCAAATATTTTCTGAGTTCCTAATCCAGGCTCTGCAGATTTAGCAGTAAAGGCAACATAGTCTCTGCACTGAATGCTTATTTTAGTTGAAGGAGGCCAACTGTACAAACAGTAGAGAATGGGAATTAGGAAAATGTTTCCTAAAACGATTAGATACCATTCCTCTCTCCCCCTCAAGAGATCGGCAAAAATGAATTAAGTTATCGAGGGTGAGGAAAAATGAACCTTTTTCAGACATTTGTATATGAATTGTTACAGCCTTTTTGTAAAAGTTACTAAGAATTGTCAGTTAAGATTTAAAATGTACTATGACCTAGCAATCATATTATTAAGTCTTTTTTACAGAAATAAAAGTTTTTGTATGAAAGTGTAGATATACAACGTATTTATTGCAGTATTGTGTGTAGTTAAAAAACACTGGAGTCAACTTGATGGACTCTTTACATAGAATGGTTGGATAAGTTGGATATATATATACACATTATGTCACATACTGCTATTTTTAAGTTAAATCTATATATTTATTTTACCTTATTTTTTAAGATTTATTTATTTATTTGAGAAAAAGAGTACACTTGAGAGGGGGAGGAGCAGCGGGGGAGGGGAGAGAATCTCAAGCAGATTCCACCCTAAGCATGGAGCCTGATGGGGCTCAATCCCACGACCCATGAGATCATGACCTGAGCCAAAACCAGTCAGATGCTTAACCAACTGAGCCACCCAGGTGCGCCAAGTTAAATCTATATTGACAGTATGCTCACCTCAAGTGAAAAAAAGCAGGATGCAGAATAAGGTGTATAAAGTCATCTCATGGGATGCCTGGCTGGCTCAGTCGGTTAAGTGTCCGCTTTCGGCTTGGATTGTGGTCCTGTGGTCCTGGGACCGAGTCCCTCATGGGGAGCCTACTTCTTTTGTGTGCCACTCCTCCTGCTTGTGCTGTCTCTTTCTCTGACGAATAAGTAAAATCTTTAAAAAAAAATGATCTCATTTGGAAAAAACACAAAAGCAATGAAATACACATGTAAGTATACATGTTTGTGTGAGAATAAAGATGTGAAAGCAATCAGATAAAACAGTGGACATATTAATTATGGGTGGAATTGGCATGGATTAGGGAGTGACTTAACTATCACTTTTTTATTATTCCACTTCTTACTACAAATACATATATTTTTGTTAAAGTAAAAAAGGAACCAAACAACTCCTGACACATAATAAAGTAGAACCTTAACAAACAAAACAAGACCATTTTTGTTGAACGTAATGAATTCCCACCCCGTACAAGAATGCCTTTCTCAGCATTCTTAACAGGTGTTCATTCGGCCTTTATCCGAACACAGGTAATGGAAGGGTTATTGCTTCTCAAGGAAGTAAATTCCATTTTTGAACAGTTTTGATTATTAGAAATTCTTTCTCCTGCTGAATTGAAATCTGCTTTATTGTAACTTTCTCTCTTATGTCTAGATACTGGCTTTCAGAGCTACTCATCAACCCGATTCCTTCAATTCAACTTGAATTTACTCAAGTCAATATGTTAATTTGTGTTAGTTGAAAATAACCTTTAGACCAAAAGAACTAATTCATTTCCTTCTTTACTTGTGTGTGACTGTAATTATGGGGGACTCAGGAGATACTAAAAGCTATCCAGGATGTAACAATAAAGCGAGAAGAAACAAAGAAGAAGATAGAGAAAGAAAAGAAGGAGTTTTTGCAGAAGGAGCAGGATCTGAAAGCTGAAATCGAGAAGCTTTGTGAGAAGGGCAGAAGGTAAATGATGCTGTTAAGAATAAAACCCCTGTGTGCATGTATATATTTGTGCATAAGCATCCAGTCGTGTTTGTTTGTGTGCCTAGTTTCTTTTCTTTTGGTCTAAGTTTTATTTGAAAAACAAGTACACAAATAAAATCCTCTAATGATTTTAGCTTTTTCAGCACCTTGTGTTAGATTCAGTAAAAAAAATTTCAGATTCAATAATACCTTGAAATAATAGCAGCTGATTGTTGGGTCCTAAGTATGATCAAGGTTTTGAAATGCATCTAACACCTGCTTCACTTGCTTTGATCCTGATTTTTTAGAAGTTCAGGCTGTGGGAATACTTTGATTATGTTATTCAGCACTAAAACAAATTTTAAACAGTAACATTGTAAGTAAGCCTTTGGAAAGAATTATTTAGTGGATCTCTGTTCTCTTCTGGGTACTACAGCAAGAGCAAGGTGCATATAGAATTCGGTCAGATTTTCAGTTTTCCAAGTTTCTTAATGTGGAAATCAAAATAGCTGTGAACCCTGATGATTTTATTTAAATTCTAAAATGTGCTTTTATTTATCAAGAAAATCTTGGCCTGCTGATGAGTCAGAGCTCTAAAGTGAAAAGTAGCAAGCTCATTGGTTGAATCATTTTCCAGTTATGAAAGATGGTAACTGTGAAAGGTCAACCTGAGAAAGAATGTTTGGGAAAGAGCCTAAGGACCAATCTGTTTCATTGAGAATGGAATGATAATGCTTCAAAGGTGGGCCAGTTGTCCATGATGATCCATGTGTCAGCGATTATGAAGAGTATGCTAGGAGCATAATGCTATACCTGGCATTGTTAGTGATTGAACCCCCTGCTCCCCGCCCCCCAACAACATGGCCTCTGCCATTGTCTTCACAGGCTGGGAGGGGGACAGTGAAACAGAGACATGAGCGTGCAAGCAGTTTAGCAGCAGTCTTAGCAGAAGCTGGGAAGGTGAACCTACATTATAATTATAGCTCTGTGAAAGATTTCTTTTGATGTGTACTCTATACTCTTAATGTATCTCTGACCACTTTCCTCTGCCTTCTGATTGGATAAGCCCAAGTGGTGATTGATACTAACAATTTGCTGCTCATGGTCTGGGAGATCCAATTGGGCTTTTTTATGTGTCACGAGTGTCAGAATGACACTTTCTGTCATGCTTTTTGTGGAATGTGGGTTTCACTTTTCCAGAAGTAGGGGGAAGAAGTCTTTTGTGTGTATCTTTGTTGTAGCAGTGATGCAGGTTTAGTTCTGCATTCCAGCATCCACAGAAACTGTGGGCACGGAGATTTTGGTCATTGTATTAGTCTGTTCAGACTGCCATCACAGAATACCACGGACTGGGTGACTTAAACAACAGTAATTTATTGTCTTATGGTTCTAAAGACTAGAAGTCTAAGATTAAGATGCTAGCAGGGTTGGTTTCTGGTAAAGTCAGTCTGTCTTGGCTTGCAGACACTACTGCCTTCATGCTCTGTCCTCACATGGCCTTTCCTCCGTTTGTGCATACTCACGGTGTGTCTCCTCTTCGTGTAAGGACAGTAGACCTGTTGGATTAGAGCCCCATCCTTATGATCTCATTTAACTTTAATTACTTCCTTAAAGGCCTCATCTCCAAATATAGTCACATTGCTGGTGAGGGCTTCAATAAATGAATTTGTGGGGGACACAGTTCAGGCCATAACAGTCACGTTTCCTGTTCATAGCTCTCATTCCGTCAGCCAATGCTTACTGAGTGTCTACTGCGAGCCAGACACTGTGGGCCCGGAGAATAGAAGGTCCTCATGGAGTTTATTGTTGAATAGGAGAGATGACAAATAGATAGTTACAAACCAGTATAACGATACCATGGTAGTGGTCGTATCAGAGTACGGTGAAGGGGCATGGAACCCAGACGGGGCAGGGGGAGTCAAAGGGGGATTCCCAGAGGAAGTGATTGCTAGCATTGAATCCTGAAAGATAAAGGGGAATATGAACACCACATGCAATGCATGATCTTTGATTTGATCCTAGATTAAACAAATAACTTTCAAAGAGTTACAGGGGTGGGGGTTGATACAGGGAGGAATTAGTGGGGCAAGGAATAGGGGAAAGACATTGCAGGCAGGGGGGCCTAAAGACAAGAGAGAACAGCACCTGAGCTGTAGGGAGGTGGGGAGGACCAGGACCAGTGCGGCAGTCGGAAGCCGGTCACAAAAAACTCCTGTATCGTGTGTTCAGGAGTTTGGGTTTTTCTCTGATAGCGATACTGAAAGATTTTATGGGGGGAGGGGTAACAGAGGAGGAGTTCTGCATTTTAGATAAATGACTTGGGCGGGTGGAAAGTGGATGGGAGTAGTGTAGAGGACCAGTTAGGAGACTTACCTGTCAGAGCCTGCCTGAGAGTGACAGTGGCCCACACTGCAGTGGCCCTGGCTGGGAGGAGAGAATTTCACACTGATGTTATATAAAGGTGAATTTACAGGGCGCCTGAGTGGCAGGCACAGTCGGTAAGTGTCCGACTCTTGGTTCGGCTCAGGTCATGATCCTCAGGGTCGTGAGGTTGAGCTCCGAGTTGGGCTCTTTGCTCAGCAAGTCGGGCTCTGTGCTCAGCATGGAGGCTGCTTGGATTCTCTCTCCCTCTCCCTCTGCTCCTGCCCACTCTGTGCTCTCTCTCTCTCTCTCTAAAAAATAAATAAATCTTTAAAAAAAGGTGAATTTACTCAATAGAAATCTGCTAAGTGTTTTGTACTCTTTGGGGGTAGTCACTATGTATTTTAATGTAACTATAATTTCTAAAGAAGACACCCTGAGTTAACAACAACAACGACCCCCCCTCCCCAAAAACTAAGGAACTAATAGTTTAGTCATGTATTCGATGATTTTGTCCTGGATACCTGGTTGCTTTGTCATGGATGTTGTCTTGCTTTCGTGGGACACTTCCTAATTCCCAGCTTATATCCTTGAGGATTATTGCTGGCATGAGGAAGGTGAGGCTTCCATATGAGTGCTCTTCCAGGGTAGAACTTCTTTTTAAGATTCATGCCTTTAGGGGCACCTGGGTGGCTCAGTTGGTTAAGCGACTGCCTTCGGCTCAGGTCATGATCCCGGGATCCCGGAGTCCCGGGATCGAGTCCCTCATCAAGCTCCCTGCTCGGCGAGGAGCCTGCTTCTCCCTCTGACCCTCCCCCCTCTGATGTACTCTCTCTCTCTCATTCTCGCTCTCTCAAATAAATAAATCTTAAAAAAAAAAAAAAAGATTCATGCCTTTAATAGTGACTCATTGAGAATGGCAGCAAGTAGGACTCTTCCGCAATAAAAGATGGTGAGCTTGAGCTTTAAAAGACATCATCAACTGATTCATAGAAGTAGCTTGGGACAAATAACAGGAAAGCCAAAATACTAAGCATCATTCTTCTTTTTTTAAAAATGTTCTGAACATGTGGCGCCTGGGTGGCTCAGTTGGTTAAACGTCTGCCTTTGGCTCAGGTCATGATCTCAGGGTCCTGCCATCAAGCACTGCGTCGGGCTCCGTGCTCAGCGGGGAGCCTGCTTCTCCCTCTCCCTCTACAGCTCCCCCAGCTCATGCTCATGCTCTCTTAAATAAGTAAATAAATAAAATCTTGAAAAAAAATGTTCTGAGCTTGCCTGATGAACTCATATGATAGAGTGATAAGTAGCACATCAAGGGATTTACTGTTGGACACATTATTTTTTTTTACTTAGAAAGAGAAAGAGTAGGGAGAGGAGCAGAGGGAGGGGGACAAGCAGAGTCCACGCTGAGTGCAGAGCCTGACATAGGGCTCGATATGAGGACCCCGAGATAATGACCCGAGCCGAAACCAAGAGCCAGACGTTCAACCAACTGAGCCACCTAGGCACTCCTGGAAGCATTACTCTAGATGTCATTTAAGAGTCTGCACTAAATTGAAATCAACAGTGTGCATGAAGATTCATTTTGGAAATTTCTCACCAAATGCTAGTTTATTTAACTGGTATGTGTAAAAGCCCTAGCAGCTTGCCTAGCAATCATTAAATTTGGTGAGCATTTCTTGGGTGCAAAGCAGTGAGCCAGGCTGTTGCAACATCCTGTATTTGACCATAGCTATCCGTCCTTCCAGCAGTCTGCTCGTTCCCAGTGAGTCTACACTTTGACCACTTCAGGTCCTCTTTCTTGTTTAGAAACCTCACTCCATTTCCCACCAGTCTTTCAGCTCCCTGGAAGCATGTCTTTCCATAGCTCACCTCAATGCACGGTCCACTGCTTGAATCACTCCCTTAGTGTTACCCTCAATTCTCTTTCCTCTCATTCTTCTGTAGTACTCCAGTCCTGGTTCAAGTCAGCCGCCTGACGTCTCTGGGCTGCTGAGTGCTGCTGGACACAGCCCTCAAACTGTGTCTGGGGTCCGAATAAATGGATGACTTCTAACATCACCGGAATCCTCGAGACTCCCTCTTCCTCTGAGGGCTGTCCCAAACTTCTACCTCCCTTTCTCAACTTCCTCTCTCCACCATTTCTCTCCTTAGTCTTAGCAGATGATCTCGCTTTTTATTTCACTGTAAAAATAGAGGCCATCGGCACCTGGGTGGCTCAGATGGTTAAGCGTCTGCCTTCAGCTCAGGTCATGATCCCAGAGTCCTGGGATCGGGTCTCGCATCGGGCTCCCTGCTCCTTGGGAGCCTGCTTCTCCCTCTGCCTGTCTCTCTCTCTGTCTCTGTCTCTCATGAATAAATAAAATCTTAAAAAAAAAAAATAAAGGCCATCAAGTGAAACCTCTTTCAGTTTCCCAGACACATCCATCCTTTCCTCCTGTCCTAGTAACTGAGTCTAAACTTTGTACCTGTCTGTGAATTCAGTCCACTCTCGATGCTACCATTTCTCCATAAGTGGCAGTACTACGTACCGCCTGTCTGAACTGAATAACCAAGAGTCATCCTAAATTCTCTCTTCGCCCCTTTTCCACCACATCTACTTTTACCAAGTCCTGTACATTCTTAATATTATCCCTTTC